ATTATCCATAACAACCTGTAACCCACACATTAAACAAAAACAAATATCCGCAATCCATTTTTGGGGAATGGGCATAGTTTTCTAGGCTACTTCCTGCTGATTGGGGGTGCTAATAATCTTATGGGGACTCAAAGAAAATTTAGGATTATGGTCAAGTCTTTACTGGAGTATTCTGTGAGGCTGGATCATTTAAGCCATTTTTTTTTTTTTTTTTAGTGTGTGTGTGTGTTGTGTGTGTGGTTTCAATCTGAAGATCTGAAAAGCAAAACAGCCAGCCATTGGTTCTTACTTCGACCTCAGTCTGAAATGGTAATCCTGCCTTCTGGAATCTTAGAATGAGACTGTGGTTTGAGAGCTGTTTCCTCTCATTTTATAATCCTCTCTAGGGCTGGGATTTCAGTTTCACTGTTAGTGATGTTATTGTGTGTGTTTTTCCCTTCTTTGGGATTTGCTGCTATGAGATCATCTATTGTCTGTGTTTTTGTGGATGTAGCAAACTTCCTTGGGTGGCAATTTTCTTTCTAGTACTTTGTGTAGTGTTGGGTTTGTGGCTAGGTATTGGTTAAATCTGGTTTTGTCATGGAATATCTTGTTTTGTCTATAGTGATTGAAAGTTTTGCTGGGTATAGTAGTCTGGGCTGACATCCATGGTCTCTTGATGTCTGTATAATGCTTGACCAGAATCTTCTGGCTTTCTTTGTTTCCATTGAGAAGTCAGGTGTAATTCCGATAGGTCTGCTTTTATATGTTATTTAGCCTTTTTACTTTGCAGCTCTAATAGTCTTTCTTCATTCTGTATGTTTAATATTTTGATTATTGTGTGATGAGGGTACTTTTTTCTTGATCCAGTCTATTTGGTGTTCTTTAAGCTTCTTCTATGCGTATCTTTCTTTAGGTTGGAAAAGTTTTCTATGACTTTGTTGAATATATTTTCTATGCTTTTGAGTTGGACTTCTTCTCCTTCTTCTATCCCTATCCTTAGTTTTGGTCTTTTCATGGTGTCCCATATTTCCTGGATATTTTGTGTTAAGCTTTTGTTAGATTTAGTGTTTTCTTTGATCGTTGAGTCTATTTCCTTTATCGTATCTTCAATGCTTGCGATTCTGTCTTCCATCTCTTGTATTCTGCTGTTTATGCTTGCATTTATGGTTCCTGATCATTTTCTCATAATTTCCATTTCTATAATTCCCTCTGCTTGTGTTTTCTTTATTGTCTCTATTTCAGTTTTCAAGTTTTGAGTCATTTCTTTCATTCTTTTGATTGCATTTACTTGGTTTTCTTTAAAGGATTGGTTGATTTCTTCCAATTTTTGTTTGTCTTTTCCTCCATTTTTTTTTTTGAGGAAAATTTTCATTTTCTCTTTAAGGTCCTCAAACATTCTCCTAAAGTTATTTCTTAGGTCATTTTCTTCTGCTTCATCTATATTGGGGTGTTCAAGTCTTGCTGTTGTAGGGTCACTAGTTTTAGTCCTGTTGTTTTGTGTGGTGTTGCATGTGTTCTTACCTTGTCTACTCATCTTTTCCTCTGATTGGTGTAGTTGGGGCTGTGTCTCTGGTGATCAGTCTTCCAGGTGCCAGTGAATCCGAGGCTCAGTTGGTTACTCCTTGTGATGCAGTCAGGGCCATTGTTCCAGTCACCCTGGAGGTCACTCAGTGTTCCTGGAAGGCACTCAGTGCTCCCAGGGTTGTTCAAGCCTGCTCCCATGGATGTTGCTTGCTTGAACCTCCTCTGACTGAGGTAGCTGCCTTGGGCCTGCTCCATCAGAGGTTGCTGACTCAGGCCTGCTCCCTCAGAGGTTCCTGATTTGTGCCCGTCCCACAGAGGTCACTGGCTCAAGCCTGCTCCTGTGGAAGTGACTGCCTTGGCCTGCTCCAGGTGAGGTCACTGGCTCAGGCTTGCTCTGGTGGAAGTCACTGGCTTAGGTCTGTTCCGGCAGATGTCCTTGGCTTGGGCCTGCTCCTGCAGAGGTCCCTGGCTTGGTCCCGGTCCTGCAGACATCTCTGGCTTGGGTCTGCTCCCTTGGAGGTTCCTGACTTGTGCCTGGTCCCACAGAGATCTCTGGCTTGGGCCTGCTTCTTCAGTGGTCGCTCCCTTGTACCTGCTCCTATGGAGTTTTCTGCCTTGGGCCTAGGGCTGGGATTAAAGGCACGCACCACCATTATTAAGGGCATGTACAGCTTGATTTTTATGGCACGAATGTAGCTACTGGGATTAAAGGTGTGTATCATTGTGGTTACTGGGATTAAAAGTGTGTATTACCATAACCTGGTCTGTAAAGCTGACCAGTGGGACTGTTTTACTCTCAGATTTTCAGGTACTCTTTATTTATTAAAATACAATTGAAAAGCCAATCCATTCCTGTTTGCTTTTGTCGCAGGTGGTGCCTTCTTGCTGAATTTTGCCAGCTTGGGAAGGGCAGAAGGCGCCTCTGTATTCTCTTATAAGATCACCATTCCTTTTGATGAATCCCACCCTTAAGGCATTGTCACTTCCTCAACTATTATTATATTGGAAACTAGATTTCAACATCTGAATTTTGACACCTATATACTGTAGAACAAATAGACAATCAAGTCGAATGGTGTGTCTAGTGATGCAACACAAAATCCATACAAATAGTTTCTCATGCATAATTGCTTAGTAGTTTGGCTTTTTGACAATGGCAGAGGGTGCCATTTGGTAAGCATCACACATTGAAGTTTGAATTTTTTTCTGGGTCAGTGACGTAAAGTTTACTATTGTTTTGCAATGCTGAGCAGCAGCAGGGAATTGTAGCCCCCAGTTAGCACTACACTCAGAAGGTAAATGTTGGACACCCTATAATGCACTATGTTGCTGGGCTAAGTTTCTCAGGCTTAAGTATATTAAATTTAGTTTTATCTGCATGGTATTTCCAGTGGGCAGTGGGTGAGATGGGGGTGTTTTCTACCCTAAGTTGAAGAGTAGTTTACTTTGTATTTGCACATGGTTTCTGGCACTAAAATCCCTGTGATTTTCTAAGTTATACTCGTAACAGGGACACCTTCTGTAGTATTTGACCTTTTGTTCTCAGCTCCCGAAACATCTCCATGTTTTTCACTACTGATAACAGACTTCAGACAGACCCAGGTTCACACTGGGGAGATGATTTTGGGGGACTGACTTAGATTACTGTAGAATTGGGATTGATCATAGGGGATCTAACCAATGTGATTGAGAGTTAGAGTTTTCAGCCCCCTCCATCCCTCCACAATCTCTGGGAAGATAGGAGGAGGAATGGAGGTTGAGATAAAACCAACAGCTGATGACTCAATTAAAATCATTGCTGTATTATGAATCTTCCATTAAGATTCCCAACAAAATGAGTTTGGAGTACTGTTGAGCTGGTGAATAATAACATACTTGTGTGCTGGGAAAATGCCTTCTCTCACACTCTGTAGGAACAGAATCTTGCAGTTCATGGCAGAGCTGAGTTAAACTGTAGAACACTCTGCCATTGTCCATGAAGATGCGGGAGATTCCTTTGCATGGGGAAGCTCATACCTTTGATATATCAGAAATTTTTTGTGAGGGAGATAGCAGTGAATCTTCTTCTTTCAATATATTATAAAACGATATCACAAATAAAAGGATAATTTCTATTTATAGCAAAGCATATTAGGCAAGTTTACTCTATGAAGAAAAATTGTAATGGATAGTTTTCCTCAACAACATACTGTGTGTCATTTCTCACAATAAATTAGGGGCCTGCATATAAAAGTGCCAGCATAATAAAATGAAAGCAAAATGATGTGTAGAGAAACTAACAGCCAAGAGAGCTAGAAGGTACAGTTAGTATATGAACCATTGAGAAGCTATAAGTTAATCTGTTAGAACATATATTTGATTGCTTTAGAAAGTGGTATGATGGGGAGTTTCCTTCTGTATGATGTGACTATCATTGGTTAATAAAGGGACTGCTTTGGGCCTATAGCAGAGCTATAGGGGAACAGAGCTAGGTGGGGAAAACAAAACAGAATGCTGGGAGAAAGGAGGAGGAGTCAGAGAGAAGCCGTGTAGCCCTGCAGGGGCCAGTTGGAACTTTAGCTGGTAAGCCACAGCCACGTGACGATACACAGATTAATAGAAATGGGTTAAATTAATATGTAAGAGTCAGCCAATAAGAAGCTAGAGCTAATGGGCCAAGCAGTTATTTAATTAATATGGTTTCTGTGTGATTATTTCAGTTCTGGGCGGCCGGGACAAACAAGTGGCCTCCTTATTACAGTGGTAGGGTACGATTAGCTTCAAAGTCATATCTAAAAGATTACCTGCATCATTGGTGAGGTTGAAGTTTTTGGACTAACTGTTATTTGTCCACAATACTTTCTCTACATTCCTATTGTGGTTTGAAAGAAAATGACCCCCAGAGGGAGTGGCACTAATGGGAGGAGTGGACTGGATGGAGGAGGTGTGGTCTTCTTGGAGTAGGTATGTTGGAGGAAGTATGTCACTGTGAGGGTGGCCTTTGAGGTTTCCTATGCTCAAGCTACACACAGTGAGTTAGACCACTTCCTGTTGCCTGTGAGTCAAGATGTTCAGCTTCAGTTTCAGCACCATGTCTGCCTCCATGCTACCATTATGATAGTGGATTATACCTCTGAAATTTCAAGCCACCCCAATTAAATGTTTTTGTTTAGAAGAGTTGCCAGTGTCATGGTGTCTCTTCACAGCAATAGAAATCCAAACTAAGATACCTCTCCTCTTGCAGGTTGCCCTAAATCTGGAACAAAGAATTTTATATTGCCCCCTGAGTAGGGGAGTCAGGATTGCCAATTCTTTTAATTCCGAGACACTTATTGGATTGTTTTAATTTCTTATTATTGAGATAATAAATGACTACAAACTTAATTGCTTAAAACAACACATATTTATTCAATTTGTAGAACTCTGGAGTCACAAATAAATCTTCTGGGGATAAAATCAAGTAGCAACATTGCGCTGAGAAAATTAATTTCATTGTCCTTCTTAGCTTTTGAACCTTTGATCCATCTTCAAGGGACATCACTCCAATTACTGCTTCTACCACCATACAATCATTTCCTCTTCTATAGTCAATTCACCCCTCATCTTATATGGACATTTGTACTTGCAATTAGGACCTACCCTGACAATCCAAAAAATAACCTTCCATTAATAAGATCCTTACCCACATTTGCTATGTCTCTTTTGCCATCTACAGCAGCATTCACAGATTCCAGATAACAAAATAAAAACCTTTGGGAGACTATTGCAGGGCTAGAGACTGCAAACTGGATGAGTAAAATCACATGTTAGGTACAGGAACATTTGGCAATGGTCATGAATGTAAGGGTCTAATGGTCCAGTCAAGGAGCCCTTCACTGAAATGAAGACACAGCTCCTGTTGCTATCTCAGGGATCTCAGGCCAGTGTGGAAACAGTGTAAGAAAACACATTCCTCATATTTCTTGGTATGTAATTTTGGATCTTGTACAGAAGATGATCTTCTTCAAGAGACTCTTCTCCATCTAGAAACTGTTACACAAGTTTCTTTCACAGCACATCACAAAAATAGATTTCCCTTTCTCTTTGTAGTTATTTTCCACACAGTTAGGCATGCAAAGTTGCTTGGAGGACACATGCTTTGATCCTAAAAATAAAGAAGCTGGTTATACACGTTGGAGGAGATTATCTTAACGCAACTTCCTAAAATCACTGCCAAGAGGAAAACTCCTTCCCACTGGATCCCCTTCCCTGGACCCTTGGGGTCACACTCCCATTCTGACTCTGACTCTGGATGCCAAGCCCCTCAACGATAAATTAGAAAATACTCTTGTCCCTCCTCCCCACATTTTACTCACTGCCTTACCACTTAGCAAGGCTCAACGATGTTAAGTCCTATATCCCAGGTACTAGAAGGAGTAATAGTCCTTTGACAGCACTTTTTTTTTGGAGTCTGCATCAGCCTCACTTACCTATATATGTTGATATGGAAGCACATGACTGACCACGCTGTGCAGTACATCTGCTTTTGCCTTTTTTACATCTTGCTTTGTCTGCCAAGTCACAGACATTACAGGTCAGACCTGTATTTGTTGAAGAAGAAGAGAATAGGATATTTAGGATCAGTTCTAAGGCTATGGGAATGAGTGATTACAAAATCAAAGAGAGGCTTTGGTGTTACACATAGACCGTACTGTCCATTTACTCCCTTAGCTAGTATTCAGTTTAGCTTTGGGAGTTAAGCTAGGGGGTGGATTAACATAATGGTGGCATTATTTCTGTTACCTGGTTAGTGCCTACATATATTCGAAGATGAAATAAAAACAATGAGAATCAAATTATATATGTAGTCAATTGGATAAATTGTGCAATACAGTTTGAGTATAACAACAGACAGATTCCACTGGGCTGAGAAGGCCTTGGACTTGACTTGATTATTGGAGATGCGGAGATGTAGGTTAGATCTGGGTAATTGTGTGTTGAGGATCTTATGAGGGCGGACATAGAGATTGGAATAACAGTGGAACATATAGTTCCACTGACTGAGGTTACATTTGTTGCTGATGGTCCCACCTAGCTCAGCTCTACTTTCTTTCTCTTCAACAAGCAGAGAAATGATCTAGGAATCTCTGTGATCAGGTAGCAACAGGGCAAGGGAGGCAGGGCACAGAGATGACATTAGAAACGATGGCAGACTTAGCATTTAGGATTAAGCAATATTGATGGAGAAGAGGTGGTACATTATTTGAACCTTTCATCTTAGACATTTTGAGATTATTGAGTCAGACTCTGTATGGAGCCGAGGAGGACCTGAGTGCCAGTGACTTACGTCCGGTTTTGAAGATGGCTGTGCTATATCTGTCTGACATATCCCATGCTCCGTGCCTCACTAACACTGCCTTTACAAATGCTGCTCGTAATCCCTAATGACACATCTACTTGTCCTTGCATGACCAAGGGTTTGTTCACTTCTAAGTAATGATGATTTAAAGCATATGGGAAGATGTTCACAGGTTAGAGGCAAACATAGTGTAAAATTTTGTATCAGGAATATGAACATTCATGGATTTTGGTATCAGGATCAGACCTGGAGTGAGTTCCTTTCTATAATTCAGTGAGATGGCTATTCACCATACATAATATGCACTTTGATTTCTTTTGAACAATATATGATATTAGAAAAATATTCCATTAAAGCTTTGTATCATGCTTTAATTAATCAATTCCTTAAGTATATTTATTTCTATGTTTTGATATTACTTGGCACAGTAAATAATCCTGAACACTATTCATTATAATATAATGAGGTTGTTATTATATAATTCATTTGCATGTGGTTATATCTGTAATATAATTTCATATAAGCAGAATTGCTGGATAACAAATTATTGTTTTGATAGTATTGCAAGATGCACTTTAAAGGCAATGAAACTATTTATACTCTTGTTATCAATTTTTAGGCAATTCTTACCTCAGTACAACAAGGACACTATACAGTGTTATTCAGTTTCTGAATGTTGACAATCTGATAGGTTCTGTGAATATGTACTTCTTCACTATATAAGGAGTGAGTCTGAGCACTTTTTTTTGTACATTTAATAGTTATTTGTATTTACTGTATGATGAACTTTTGATGTCTTTAACTTGTTTTTCTGTTAGATTATTAGTGTATTTTTCAGTGTTTTTATTGAAAGTCATCATATATTAGGGACATCAGCCATTTGTTCACAATATGAATTGACTTTTTGCCTTTTATTATGAGGAATTTTTTGATTTTTATTTCTTCTTTATATTAATTTTATTTTTTTGAAATTGTAGTGTACTTACATCACTTATCTCTTCCTTTTCCTCCCTACAAGCCCTCCATATGGCCCTCTTTGCTCTCTTTCAAGTTCATATGGTTTGTTTTTTTTTAAGAACTCTAGGTTTTTGAGTTATAGTTAGAAAGGTCTTTCCCAAACTTGCAAAAGAATAATCTTACATTTTCTCTAATGGTTTATGGTTTAGCATTTCTTAGTATTAAAGGGTGGCAAAATAGAAACACCATTTTACTTTGAGTACATTTAATAAGTAAGATGAATACAAATTAGACATTAATTTTCATTTAGTCATGAGCAACAGCTATGTGTCAAGGCTGACTGTCAAGCAGAGTGTGCACTCACTGGTGTAAGACGGAGTCTCAGCAGAGAGCTCTGCCTGAGGAGTGGGGCTCTCTCTTTTCAGCTATAAGTTATAATTGGAGCCTTGGAGTGGAAGAGGACCTGTGTGAGTAGTGTTGAGTTTGGAAGGTACATAAAGATTCCTGCTGACCTAACACCTGCAAAATACATGGAGAAGAAGTAATGAGACAAAGAAGGGGGAAGAAGAAGGGTCTTGTGCAGGGTGCAGCATAACAGTGTTTCAAGAGAAAGGAAGATAAAGTGAAAACCTGTGCACAAGACCTGGAGATCTGAAAATTGCTGTCCTGTTTCTCTGCGATTCTTCTGTTTTCTTCTTCATTAGTATATCACATGATCTCCCTAATGCTCAGAACCTCAGTCTTTAGATTTGAGCTGCAGTGCCCGAGTGTGACTGAGGGACAGTGGTTTAGGTAATAACACCCCTAAATCCTCCCTCCACTCCCCATGGTGGAAACTTACCCTCTACCAAGCAGAGAAAAGACAAGGTCACGATGAGCACTGTGCTGACTTTGGTCGCAGGATTCATGCTGGGTGATAGATGGTGGCTTGAGGTACTGTATAAAGGAAGGTCACCCAGCCCCTTTATAAAGCGGGAGAACAGGAAGTAATCTCCAACATCAGCACAGGAGGAAATGCCCTTTCCTTTTTCAAAAAGCCTGATGTGCGATAACGTGGGAAGCACAGGGTGCCCAGCGGTCTAGCTACAGCTGAGTCAGATGATTTCTCCTCCCTTATCTCGTCTCCTGTGTGTGCAAGTGTGTGAGATGCAGTTTTCTGCTCCTCCAGAAATCCTTTCTATACACTAAGTGGAAAATGTCTGCTCATCCTGGGATTCAGACATGGGAAACGGTGGCTTTGAATTCAAAGACTTCCAGAGAAGGAACACGGAACATGAAGATTTCCTGTACAGCTTATTCCAGTGTTGGAGAATTCTCCAGTTTGAGTCACAGGAAGGGGGAGTTTAGAGACTGGAAGTCTACACACAGCTCCCTAGCTCCTGTCTCCTAAAGTCTCCATCTTTCCCCCTTAGAAAGTTCTAGTGCTCCTCACTCTGGAAGTCTGGGATCTCAGGTTCCCAGCAGATCTTATGGTTGGGAGTTCAGGGGTGAGGGGAGAAATGACGGTGCTTCTTCTTCTTTCTTTCTTTCTTTCTTCTTCTTCTTCTTCTTCTTCTTCTTCTTCTTCTTCTTCTTCTTCTTCTTCTTCTTCTTCTTCTTCTTCTTC